TTGAGCTGTGTGTTTAGTGATTACCAACAGACTTGTGAATGCCTGGACACCAAATGCAGTGCAGTTATAATCTGACATCATTTGGTTAATGAATATCCATGGCTGGTTCTGATTTTATGAGTTTGAGTGAGACTTTTTTGTTGCTGGTGGCTTGTTCCTGGTGGTCAGCAACGGCATTTTCTTACTCCGAGGGCTCAATCCCTTCCTTGTCTGGTGATGCTGCATTCTTGCTGATCCCTGTATTCCTTTCCCGGGGGAGCAGAAGGCAGCTATTCAGCCCCTCAAGTCTGCTGTACCGTTCAATGAGATCGCGCTTGATTTAATAAACCTCAATACCACTTTCCTGCCTTTAAATCAATAACCCTTGATTCCCTTACTGATTAAAAATTTGTCTATCTCAGCCATCAATATATTTAGTGATCTTCACAATCCTCTGTGGTAAAGAATCACAGATTCACTACCTTCTGAGAGAAAACATTTCTTCTCATCTGTGTCTTAAATGAGTAATCCTGAACTCTGAGATGATGTCCTCTGGTCCTAGACTCTTCCACAAAGGGAAACAACCTCTCTCCATTCACCTTTCAGCCGGTTTTGACTGAGCTGCCAGGCTGAGCCAGTATGGAGCAGATTCGATGGACTGAATGCCATTTCCTCTTCCAAGTCCGCTTGCGGTATCCTGCCCAGTTGATCACATCTCTGATCATTCCAGTCTTTCACTGACAGACTTGGCCAATGGTGAGGACAGAGAAAACCATACAGAGTCAGAGAGTCCTACATCACAGAGACAGGCCCAAACTGGTCCATGCCAACCAAATATCCATCCACGCTAACCCCATTTCCCTGCACTTGGCCCATATCCTTCTAAACCTTTCCTATCCTTGTATTTGTCCAAATGCCTTTTAAATGTTGTTAATGTACCCACTTCAACTACTTCCATGGGCAGCTCATTTCATATGCGTATCACCTTCTGTGTAAAAAGGTTGCCCCTCAAGTTCCCATGTATTCTTTCCCCTCTTGCCTTAAACTGATGCCCTCTAATCCTCAATTCCCCAACCCTCGGAAAAAGACTGAAGTGCATTCACCCTATCCATGCCTCTCATCATCTTATACACTTCTATAAGATCTTCCCTCAGTCTCCTGCGCTCTAAAGAAAAAAGTCCTAGTTTGTCTAACCTCTCCCTTTAACTCAGTCCCTTGAATCCTGGTAACATCCTTGTAAATTTCTTCTGCACTCTTTCCAGTTTAATAACATTCTTCCTGTGTGACCAAAACTGAGCACAATACTCCAAGTGTGGCCTCACCAATGTCCTGTACAACTGCAACATAACTTCCCAACTTCTATACTCAATGCCCTGACTAATGAAGGCCAGTGTGCCAAAAAGCTTTTTTCACTGCCCTATCTACCTGTGACTCCATTTTCAGAGAACCATGCACTCTCTTCCACTACTCTCCCTTAAGGCTCTACCATTCACCATGAAACTCCTACCTTGATTTGACTTTCCAAAATGCAACACCTCACACTTATCTATATTAAACTCCATTTGTCATTTCTCGGCCCATTTCCCCAGCTGATTCAGATTCCGCTGCAATTTTTGATAATCTTCCTCACTGTCCACGATACCACCTATTTTAGTGTAATCTGCAAACTTACTAATAATGCCTTGTACATTCTCATCCAAATCATTGATATAGATAACAAACAGCAATGGACCCAGCACCAACCCCTGAGGCACACCACTCGTCACAGGCCTCCAGTCCAACAAGCATCCTTCCACTATTACTCTCTGCTTCCTACCATCAAGCCAATTGTGTATCCAATTTTCCAACTCTCCCTGGATTTCATGCAATCTAACCTTCCACAGCAACTTACCATGTGGAACCTTATCAAAGGCCTTACTGAATTCCATATAGACAACATCTACTGTCCTGCCCTCATCAACCTTCCTGGTCACTTCACCAAAGAACTCTAACAAATTTGTGAGGCATGATCTCCTATGCATGAAGCCATATTGACTACTCCTAATCAAACCCTGTCTTTCTAAATGCATGTATGTCTTATCTCTTAGAATCTTCTCAAGTAACTTACCTACCACAGATGTTAAGCTTACTGGTCTATAATTCCCAGGTTTTTCTTTGCAACCCTTCTTGAATAAGGGCACAACATTTGCTATCCTCCAGTCTTCTGGGACCTCATCCGTGGCTAACAATGATGCAAATATATCAGCCAGGGCCCCTGCAATTTCTTCTGTAGCCTCTTGCAGGGTTCTTGGATATATCTGGTCAGGACCAGGAGATTTATCAACCTTCATACATTCTATTACTTTCAGCACCTCCTCTACTGTAATATGGACTGACCCCAGGACATTGCCACTAACTGCCCCAAGCTCCCAAGTCTTCATGTCTTTCTCCATGGTAAACACAGAGCAGAAATATTCATTGAGGACCTCGCCCATCTCCTGCAGTTCCACACACACATGTTCACTTTGATCCTTGAGGGGTCTAATTCTGTCTCTAGTTATTCTTTTTCCTTTAATATAATTAAAGAATCTTTTGCATTCACTCTAATCTTCTTAGCCTAGGCTATCTCGTGCTCCCTTTTTGCCCTAAAAACCTCCAGGGATTCCCTTGAATCCAGATGCCTGTTCCTGAGCCATACCTCCTTTTTTTTGGTCAAAGCCTCAATATTGCTTGTCATCCAGGGTTCCCTACTCCTGCCAACCTTGCCCTTCACCCTCGCAGGACCTTGAACTCTAGCTATCACACTTTTAAAGGCTTCCCACTTGCTAGAGGTCCTTTTTGCCTGCAAACAAAATACTCCAATCAACCCCTGCAAGCTCCTGTCTAATTCCATCAAAATTCTCCTTGCTCCAATTTAGAACTTGAACCTGTGGACCAGTTCTGTCCTTCTCCATAACTATTATAAAATTAATAGAACTATGGTCACTGGTCCCAAAGTGCTCCCCCACTGTCACCTCAGTCACCTGTCCTGCCCTATTTCCCAAGAGTAGGTCGAGTTTTGCCCCTTCCCGAACAGGACCCTCTATATACTGCTTGAGGAAACTTTCCTGAACACACTTAACAAATTCTACCCCATCTAAGTCCTTTACACTATGGCAGTCCCAGTCTATATTAGGAAAATTAAAATCCCCCACTGTGACAACCCTGTTGCTCCCACAAGCCTCCGCAATCTCCCTGCATATTTGTTATTCTAATTCCAGTTGACTATTTGGGGGCCTGCTGTTGAGGATCCCACCCCCCTGCCAATCTAGTTTAAACTCTCCTTCTCCTTCAGAATTGGAAACAATGTAATGGAAACACAGTAGGGAACCAGAGGTAGATAGGAGTTGGCCCAAATTGGCATTGAGCTTTAAAGGGGACAGTATGTCATACAATATCACCAGTAGGTGTTTTCTGTAGTGATTGTAATGAGGTCAGCCAGCTGAACCTCTCAGAATGTGAGTTCCCTGATTGGATCAGATTAACAGTCCCAATCAGGGAGCCAAGACTGACAGATAAAAAGGGGCATGGCAGGGGTTCTGCTCAAACAAAGAACAAAGAACAAAGAAAATTGCAGCACAGGAACAGGCCCTTCGGCCCTCCAAGCCTGCGCCGATCCAGATCCTCTATCTAAACCTGTCACCTATTTTCCAAAGATCTGTATCCCTCTGCTCCCTGCCCATTCATGTATCTGTCTAGATACATCTTAAATGACGCTATCATGCCTGCCTCTACCACCTCAGCTGGCAACGCGTTCCAGGCATCCACCACCCTCTGTGTAAAGAACTTTCCACGCATATCTTCCTTAAACTTTTCCCCTCTCACCTTGAAATCATGACCCCTAGGAATTGAGTCTCCCACTCTGGGAAAAAGCTTCTTGCTATCCACCCTGTCTATAACTCTCATGCTTTTGTAGACCTCAATCAGGTCCCCCCCTCAACCTCCATCTTTCTAATGTAAATACTCCTAATCTACTCAACCTCTCTTCATAGCTAGCGCCCTCAATACCAGGCAACATCCTGGTGAACCTCCTCTGCACCCTCTCCAAAGCATCCACATCCTTTTGGTAATGTGGCGACCAGAACTGTACTCAGTATTCCAAATGTGGTCGAACCAAAGTTCTATACAACTGTAACATGACCTGCCAACTCTTGTACTCAATATCCCGTCCAATGAATGAAAGCATGCCGTATGCCTTCTTGACCACTCTATTGACCTGCGTTGCCACCTTCAGGGTACAATGGACCTGAACACCCAGATCTCTCTGTGCATCACCTCTGAGAGCTGGCTCTAAGGAAGCTGGATCAGTGTCAAGGACTCTCCACATGTAAACAAGGGGTAACTTGGTGATGGGATACAGGTCTCTGTGGAGTTATTTTCCACAGATTGGCTTTACCTGCCTTAAGGTTGATAGATGCTATATTGTAGGAATTTTATAAATTCTGTTGTATAGTAATCCATTGCCACATATTTGCCTAGTGCCGTCCACTGGTCACTGTCCAGCTCCACAATGAGGGAGTCTCAGACAGACATATGAAAATACACACATAGAGGCATAAACCAATGTACATGCGATGGCACGCACACATAGACACAGAGGACGGAATCCCAGTACAGGACTGAGATTGTGCATCAAGATGCAGAGAGACACACACCAATATACAAATGCAGGTACACATGGAGGCACTGTACATGGTCACCTCTTTCTGAGGATACATAAAAACTTCAGCCAGACATCTCTGTTCCCCTGCTCCCTGTGAGAGTGTTTCTTTTTATTATCAGCTGTCAGTGGCATGTTTATGGAAACCTGAACCTGGTGAATTAGTTCCTTATAATGAAAGGAAGGAACAGCTGACAGTGGCTGGGAGGCCCTGCACAACAGAAGAGTTTGGAAACAAAGTCCGTCTCCAGGGAGATGTCAAACACAAGCTGAGCATGTACATCCCCAGGCACTGCCAGGAAGCAGAAATTATGATCCTGCTTAAACTCGGGTCATGGCCATTTCTTCATAGCTAAGTGAACGCTTAGAAATGAATGATTTCAATTAAACACCTCACTATATTTTGTTACAATGTATTTCTTTACATTTTTCTGAAGGCCTGCTTAAGCAGTGGTGTGTGCTGGCCTCTCATTGGAGCATCCAGCGTGAGGCAGAGCTTGTCAATGTTCTCATGGCTCAAGAAAGGAGCTGTCGCCTGAGAGTATATCTGGAGGACACAGGAGAGACCTTCAATTTGAAGAAGTGTCACAGCAACATGACGATAGGGGAGCTGAAGACCAACCTGGAGCTGGTAACTGGAATCCCTACCAATCTGCAAAGGCTCTACTACATTGATGAGGGTAAGGCCTTTGGTTGGCATGACTACACCCCACCCCAATCGACTGTGTGCAGGGTCAGCTGTTAGAGGGTTGTCTTCTCTAGTTACCTGTACCAACAGGTTTCATCATGTGACCCCCTTCCAACAATCACCCATTAGTTGCCCAACCTGTCTGTCTAGCCAGCCAATTAGAAAGCAAACAGAGTGTGTAACACTCTCAAGCATTTGTCTGATTCCTGATTGTTCACTAGGCAGCTTTTTATTGCCGTGACCTGTATAAGCAGTAAAAGGGACCTAAGGGCCAACTTCTTCACACAGAGGCTGGTGCGTGTATGAAATGAGCTGCCAGAGGAAGTGTGGAGTCTGGTACAATTACAATGTTTAAAAGGCATCTGGATGAGTATATGAAGATAGCAAGATTCTGAAGAAGGATCTCAACCCAAAACATCAACTTTCCTGCTCCTCTGATGCTGCCTGGCCTGCTGTGTTCCTCCAGCTCCACACTGTGTTGTCTGTTGATGAGTATATGAATAGGGAAAGTTTAGGGGGATATGAGCCAAATGCTGGCAAATGTGACTAGATTAATTTAGGATATCTGGTCGGCATAGATGAGTTGAACCAAAGAGCCTGTTTCAATGCTGTACCAGCTCTATGACTCAATAACTACCCTCTGTGTTCTATGACCAAGCCAATTTTGTATCCAACCTGCCTCAATGACTCTAACTTCTCCCTTTCCTCCCTCAGTTATCCTTGTGTGCTTTCAATAGAGTGTCATGCCTCAAATGATCCCAAGTAAAATGGCCTCCAAGACCTTTATAGCCTTGGGTTACATGCTCTGCTGCAGCAATGCGATGGTGAGCATGTCTGTTTACGGTATAATGACTAGGTCACCTTTCTGAGTGCCAAAAGGCAATTATATGCTCTTGAGCACTTTCTCATGAATGAAAGATGCATTTTTCTGTTACACAGGTAAGACTCGAAGCCTAATTACATTCCAGCAATCGAGATGGGTCACCAATTACTCTGAGCTTGTTTCAGGGGTATTAAACCAAGGGCAGAAAATGAACTATGTTTCCCATGCCAGATGGTGCCATTGGCTCCTAGTGAACTGTGTAGGTGAACAGAGTCTCAGCTCAACCTCTCACTTGAAAGGAGGCAGCTCCAAATAATCTCACAGGATGGTCTAGTATTAGCCAAGCAAAGTGCACTGCACAGTATCTGGATCAGTTGCCCCTACTTTTTGATGTGTCAATGATTTGTGTTTTGTTAACGCTAACATAGTTTGTATGTTTTCTGCAGGGGAAATGCCTGACAATGTTACATTAAAATACAATGGTGTCATAAAAAATTCAACAATAAAAATGAAAACCTGGCTTCAAGATGGTTGGCGGGAGCTGCTGTATGCTGCTGCACACGGTGATATTAATAAGGTACCACTGCCTGGTACACAATAATACATAATGCAACAAACCTCATCCAATCCAGCCCTTGCAAATACAGCAGAGTTAGATAAAGAGTAAAGTTCACTCGACACTGTCCCCATTAAACAGTACCAGGACAGCTACAGCATTGTGTATGTGTGTGTGTGTATGGAGGGGGGGGAGGTGGTAGGGAGTTAGACGGAGATTAAAGCTTCCTCTTCTCTTTTAAATGGAAGGTAATGTTTAAAGGGTCCCATTAAACACTCCGAGGACAGGTACAGCACAAAGTTAGATACAGAGTAAATTTCCTCCACACTTTCAAACTGAAAATACCCTCTACACCATCAAATATTCCCAGAACAGGTACACCACAGGGTGAGATACAGAGTAAAGCTATCGCTACACTGTCCCCATGAAGCACTTCCAGGACAGGTACCCCACAGGGTGAGATACAGAGTAAAGCTTCCTCTACACTGTCCCTATCAAACTCTCTCGGGACAGGTACAGCACGGATGGTATAGATACAGTGTATAGCTCCCTGTACTCTTTTAAATAGAAGGTAATGTTACTTCTACATTGTTCCCATCAAACACTCTGAAAACAAGTAGAGCATGGGATTAGGAACAGAGTAAAACTTTCTCTACTCTTACAAACTGAAAGCTTTCTCTACACCATCTCCATCAAACATCCCTAGGACAGGTGCACCATGGGGTCAGATACAGAGTAAAGCTGCCTGTACACTGTCCCCATTAAACACTCCGAACACAGATTGGTATTGGGTTGAGATACAGAGTAAAGCTTTCTCTACTCTATTAAACTGAAAACAAAGCTCTCTCAAGACGGTTCCCATCAAACACCCCAGGACAGGGATAGCACAGGGTTAGATACAGAGTAAAGCTGCTGCAACACTTTTAAACGGGAGAACTAAACTGAAACTAGAGCTGTCTTTACACTGCCCCAGCCATACACTTCCAAGTCAGTTACAGCATGGGGTTAGATACAGAGTAAAATCGCCTGTACACTGTCCCCAACACATACTCCCAAGTCATTTCCCATCCTTCCCAATGACTTAGAAACTGTTGCTGTGTCAGTTAGTAGCTTGTTCCTTCAGAAATTCATTTTCCTGAATCACTTGAGTAGCTAGAGCATCGCTTGGTTTCTTCCGTCTCTCTGTCTGCCCTCTCGGTTTCTGCCCTCTTTCTGTCTGCCCTCTCTCGGTGTCTTCCCTCTCTCTGTCTGCCTTCTTTCCATCTGCCCTCTCTCTGTCTGCCCTCTCTCTCTGTCTGCCCTCTCTCTCTGTCTG